TATTATATATATCATATATATAATATATTATATATATAGCGACGACAGTAGGGCAGTAACATATGTATTGGCAGATGAATAATCATGGCTTGGCACTGCCCCAGCAAATACTTTTTCCTTTTCTGTGTAATGCATATATCGCTTGCCGCGTTTTGATGTTGGCTGCTAAAAGGCAAACGGTTTAAGGATGGTGCTGTTACTTGGAACAGAATTGGAGTTTAATATTGACCAGCTTAAAACTAGAAGCGTCGAACGACTCATTTTTCCGTTGATTAATCAGGTATGAAAACTGTTTGTCACTGGTACTATTTGGAAAAGAAAAATTATTCGTTGGGTAGTGAGAAAATGATGGTTTTATTTATTTATTTATTAAATTATCAATTTTCCGGTACTTTGTGAACGGCTGTTTTTTATTTTTTTCTAAACTGGTAGTGAAGTGAGTTTGTTATCGTTCAGTATCATTTAAGTCTTTACTCTTTTGTTTGAAGGATACAGCTGATTGTGTCAAATTTTGACCTTAGAATTTTTAATTCTTTGGGAAGTGGTGGAAGGGAATTTAGATGATTAGTTTGTTTCATTATTCTGTTCTAAAACGTCACGTTCTACTAAAAGAATGGGTGTTTTTGATATCTGGAGGAAGGGAGAGAGGTATATGTACGAGAAGAAAAATTATGAAGTGAATTCATTGAAGGTGTTATATTCAGGTAACGTCTTTGGCAAACCCTGAAATTTTACATACTTTAAAAAGAACTGGTAAGAGTGGAACAGTCCTGGTGGCAGCTGTTGAAGCTTCTATTGCTAGATTCGTCGAAATTGGAAGAAGAGCAATTCAGGAATGCCCTATAGCAAAGGGGAATGCAGTAGCAGAATTAAATGCTGGGATTAATCAGTTGGAAGCTTGTGGTACAGTTTATTACTGGCAAACTTATAGACTTCAAAAGCTTAGCTTCTGCTAGGGAGTTTTACATTTTTAACAGTTTTTCACCGTAACTCCTTTCAAAGTATCTTTTATACTTTAGCTTGTCTCTAGTTTTTTCTAGAGACAAGCTAAAATATTTGGTTCCACTGCGCTTTCGGGTTTAAACTTAGCTCTTTAATTGCCTAGCAGCCGTGTGACGTCTTCTTGTAAAATAACAAGTCTTTACTTGTTAATAGGATTTGATATGGCTAAAGTCATATTTGAAATGATTCTTAGTTTAGGGAAAGAGGTCGTTGCTGCTGGAAATGAGTTTGTTGTTGAGACAGGTAATTCGCAAAAGCGAGCTAGAACAATCCGTGCCGCTCGGGCGGTGCTTACTCAGGTCGCAAGAATTCTCATCATGGCCGATATGGTTGATTTATACACGATAGTTGATGTCATTGATAAGGTCTGGGTACAGAACTTTTTCTTTCTTACTCGTTGGTATAATTAGCTATCATTGATTTTCCCGTTGTAGGCTAGAGACGACTTGGAAGCTGTTGTGAATGCAGAATCTAAGCATGAATTAAATGAGCGATATAATGCCCTCTGTTCTCATTTGGACGAAGTAAGTGAAATGACAAGGCTTCGTGTGAAGGACTTGCGCGATCCAGCGGAACAAGACGATCTGCAGGCAATCAGAGCGTGGGTCAAAGTGAACCAAGACGTTATTTATACTTCTTCAGTGGTAAGTTTTTTATTTGGGCTTTTTCAGCGCTGAGAAATTAAGATAAAAATTGATGGAGATAAGTCTTGTTTGATAATGTACACTTCATTCATTTTTTTGGGGTAAGTAAGGGAAATTACAGAAGTGTTGAGAAAATAACATATTGAACTTATAGACAATTTATAAATTATTACTTTTTTTTTTGGATTTATAGACAGGTGTACTTTTTAGGCCTACATAAGGCACCCAGAAGTAGATCAAGTGCGTATGAATCGGGACTTTTCTTACATTGAGATGAAGAAAGCTCTTGATGCAATGACATCGCTTTTGCAAGGCAACCCTAATGATTATGAAATCAGCCTTTCTCGGTACGGCGTAGTAGGTGATTTGGTTGCTGAGCTCGACCAGTTTCAGGTATATGTTTTGGATCTTACTGTTCTTTCTTAGTACCTTTATAATACTCTCGTGAATAATTTTTGGAGGTTTAATTTAGAATCGGGTTGAGACTCTTGAACCTAGTTCGTACAAAGAACATCTTCATAGGCCGGAATTAGAGGGCTTGCTAGAGCGGATAGTAAGTGGATCTGCTGCAATAGCAGACTCAGAAAATACCCGTGATGAAAGGAAAAAGAAAATTGTCGACGAGTGTAATAATCTGCGTCAGGCTCTGCAAGACTTATTGTCTGAATATGAGCGAAATGTAGGTTTTTAAAGCGATTATCTCAGTGGAACATTAAATAACAGAACCTGAACTAAGAAGAAAGTTCTTCTGCGTTCCCTATGCCTACAGAAAATTTTAGTGTGGTCGTGTAGAACCTTCGGAAGACTTGTATCTGGCAGTTTCTCATCTCGGTCATAAGGCGAAAGATTTACGGAGGCATCTTCGTCGTGCTATAATCGACCACATTAGTGATGCTTTTATTGACACCAGCACTCCTCTTATGATTCTCATTGAAAGTGCTAAACAACGGAACCAACAAGCGACTAGTGCTAATGGGCAAATGTTTCTTGAACATTCAGATAAATTAGTTCAGGTAAAATCATCATTTTCTCCTCTTCTAGTAGTTTTTTAAAAAAAAACTTTATTTTTACTATATTATTTGTTATGGTACTGTTTAATGCCGTATTAAGCAAAATTTTGTTACCAGTAACGTAATGAAGGTATATATAAATGTAAATTACATATATGTGTATGGATAATACTAGCTGTATCAGTAGGGGTGCAACTGCAAAAATTTAACGTTGACGAATGTGTCACTTTTAGGCAGCGTACCTTGCTTGTAGGATGTCAAACAATGAAGATAGCATTCGTATTTTACGCTACTCGGCTGAACTAGTAAAAAAACTTTCGCCTCAGGTACGTGACTCATTAAGTATTGAGTACTGGAACATTGTGTTACATATTAAAATCATTTTCTTTCTAGGTAGTAAATGCTGCGTATTTGCTGTGCGCACGTGACAGTCAAGTTGCAGTGAATAATATGGACGCTTTCCGGGACGCTTGGCTTGCGAAAGTATTATTTTTAATTTGTTAATGGAGGTTATTTTTTACTTTCCAAATGGTTTCCTTTCTGTACTGTTAGACCTTCGCAAATCTATCTTTGAAGTTTATTTTGAGGTTCGCCTGCTGACCATGGCAGTCGATTCAATAATTTCACTTGACGATTTTCTCGCTGTGAGTGAGTCACATATTGTTGAAGACGTCAAGATTGGTATTCAGGTAATTTTCTTCTTGTACTAGATTTTATCGATAATTTTGGCCCACAAAAATTGACTTTCTTGCTTTCTTTTAAATATTTTTGCAAGCTGGGGTCAACTTTTCAGGCTGTTATTGATGGAGATAGTAATATGCTTGATCGTACCGCAGGAGGCATTCGTGGGCGTTCGTTACGCGTCTGTGACGTAGTGGATGCCGAAATGGATGCCGTTTCTGCTGACCCGTATTCTGATCGCATAAAGTTGGCGGTGAAAATTTTGAGAGATGAAGGTTAGTTTGAAAGCTTTATGCGTCTTCTTACTGTTTCCTTCTTGTAAAGTGTGTGTTTTTTGCTGCTGAATGTACTTGTGTCATAAATCTGTTTCTTCGCTTGCTTAAAATAATATTTTGCTTTTGTCAGAAGATTTTTTCACAACTGTTATTTAGTTGTTGATGAATTTGCTCAGCGTGCGGAGAGAGTAGTGAATAAACTTGAAAAGGAAGCTATGGGAGAGGGCGGGGAAGATGATATGAAAGCGGATATCGATGAAATCATTGAAGCGAGTGAACTTGTTCACAACCAGGTTAAGGAAATTCGGGACGCGTTGCTAATGAATAGGAACCCGGAAGACGTCGATTCCGACAATGAATATGTTGACGGTAACGTACATTCTGTACAGTACTCAGTGTGCTTTAATGTTTTTCAACTTTCATATCGATGTTATTTCGTAGCTATGTAACACTTATTTTCATTTTTTAAAATTATGAATCTGTGCTTTGCATTAAAATTGGCGTAATGAGATTCCATCTTAAGAATCAAGTTATCCGGAAGGAAGTCGTATATCCGATTCTGAAAATCAGCAAAACATAATGCGTCAACTTCCTGTTGAGGACAAAAAGAAAATTCAGGAACAAATTGATGTTTTTAAGGTGAGAGTCGGGTTTGAGTGAGCGGTAAGATATTTTCAATGGTACAATTGGTTTTTTTTTTTGGTTTTAATAGGCTCTTCGTCTCAGTTAAGTGTATTGTTCAAGTACATTGTTTAGATAACTCAAAATCGTTTTGAACGTGAGGTGGCTAAGTGGGATGAAACTGGCAATGATATAATTGTATTGGCGAAGTACATGTGTGAGATTATGATGAACATGACTGATTTTACGCGGTATTTTGTTTGTCTTATTTAAACATGTTTTACTTTTAAATTTCAGATTTTTTTTTGTTGTAAATTCATACTGCTAAATTGCAATTATTTTCGTTACAATACAGTTTTTTAAAGAGGTCGGGGACCACTGAGGACAACTATGGATGTAATTAAAGCAGCGCAGGATATCTCTGATGCAGGAGCAAAACTAAATTCCTTAGCTAAACAGATAGGGGATGAGAGTGTTGAAAGCGAAACAAAAAAGGACCTTTTTGCTTATCTTCAGCGAATCACTCTGTACTGTCAACAGTTGAACATTACTAGCAGGGTTAGTTCATTTTACTCACTTTGTTAGTAATTTATAGCTTACTGTTGTTTTATTTTACTAATAGATTTATAATGATGGTGAACTTTTGTAGAAAAAGGCTTGTTTTTCTTTATTAGAGGATAAATTCGCCAGCATTTACACTTTCTTTTTTCTTTTTTTT